GACGTTCCAGGAGGGCCAGACGAACGTTTTCTCATTCGACGTTTCGGCATCGTGCGGGAGGGCGGGGGGGAGGGCCAGGGGTCTGGCTCCGGACCTCTGCTTCATGCGACCGTTTGCAGCAGTGCGTCCTGTGGGGGAGAGGCTCCACCTGCTCGAAACAGGCGCCGAAAACAGCTGAGACTGAGTCCAGGGGAGGGGGGAGGGGGGAGGGCCAGGGTCCGCGCCGCCGATCGGGAGGACAAGGAAAGAGAAAACGATTACCCAACAGTGCATTCACTTATGGGGATCTTGCCCTGACCTTCCAGGAGGGCTGACAAATAGCACCAGGCCCTCGGCATCCAAATACCAGCCGAGCCCTTGAGCAGTCCAGGTAGGTCTATACAGTCGACCCGCATCATGAGGACGCACCGTCAAGACACAACGGCCTTGGAAGGCCACGTCGAAGATTTTCGAGCGGGGCGCGGCCAACGAAAGTGGCCAAGGATGGGCCGAGGAGGCAAGGATGAGGATGCAAGGGTATCCTTGGGCAGGGTGCCCATCCTTACTATGCGGGTTGACTGTAGGGGGTCTTACCAGGAAGGCTAACAAATAACACCAAAACCTCGACCTTCTAAATCCCAATCGGAGTTTTGAGCAGTCCAAATATAGGTAACGGAACGAGCGAGGTACGAGTGATGACGTTGAATTGGGGCGAAGCCCTTCAGGGAGGGGTCCAGGGGAGGGGCGAGGCGGAGACGCAGGGTTGGTAATGGCAATTTTCGGGGTTTCCCCCGGGATTTTGCATGTTTTTCGGGTTCCCCCAAAGACGGCCCAAGAGCGCTCCAAGAGAGCCCAAGACCGCCCAAGACGGCCCAAGAGAGGCCCCAAAGAGACCCCCAAGAGGCACCCAAGGGGCGTCCCAAGAGGGCCCCAACAGGCCAAAATCATTGATGTTCCTTGGGGAAACGTGCATGTTTAGCATATACGGCGTTTCGGCTTTGACGGCGTTGACGACGGCCCAAGAGGCCCCCAAGACCGCCCCAAGACGGCCCAAGAGGCTCCCGAGAGGCCCCCCAAACTGCTCAAGAGGGCGCCAAGACGGCCTAAGAGGCGCCCAAGACGGCCCAAGAGGGCCCCAAGACGGCCCCAAGAGGGGGACCACGAACCGAAAAGTCTAGCCTTTCGCCCAAAGACGCTCCGAAGCCCCAAGAGGCCTCCAAACGGCGTCCCAAGAGGCCCCCAGGAGGCCAACATTTTCTGCTGTCACGGCGTTGAAGACGGTCCAAGAGGCCCCAAAGACCGCCCCAAGAGGGCCCAAGAGGCTCCCAAGAGGCCCCCAAAACGGCCCAAGAGGGCGCCAAGACGGCCTAAGAGGCGCCCAAGACGGCCCAAGAGGGCCCCAAGACGGCCCCAAGAGGGGGACCACGAACCGAAAAGTCTAGCCTTTCGCCCCAAGAAGCTCCCAGGAGGCCCCAAGAGCCCCCCAAGAGGCCCCCAAGAGGTCACCAAGAGGCCCTCAAGAGGCCCCCGGGACATCCCAAGAGGCCCCCAAGAGCCCCAAAAGAGGCCCTCAAACGGCCCACAAGTTCTTGACACCAAGGCCCAGCTAAGGCTCAGGAACGGGCGGCAACGTAACAATCTCTGAACACCAGGGCTCCCAACGGAGACGGCGACGCAACAAACTCTCCGCACCAAGGCTCCCAAGAGCGAAGGGTGCCATGAACCATCGCTCTTTCCGTTTCCGTTTCCGTTTCCGTGCCGGCCCAGGTAACGGAAAGAGAGAGGTACGAGTGATGACGTTGAGTTGGGGTGAAGGCCTTAAGGGAGGGGTCCAGGGGAGGGGCGAGGCGGAGACGCAGGGTTGGTAATGGCCGATTTCGTAGGGTTTTTGCATGTTTTTCGAGTTCCCCCCCCAAGACGGCCCAAGAGCGCTCCAAGAGAGCCCAAGACCGCCCAAGACAGCTCAAAAGGCCCCCAAGAGGCGCCCAAGGGGCGTCCGAAGAGGGCCCCAAGAGGCCCAAATCATTGATTTTCCTTAGGACAACGTGCATTTTTAGCATACGGCTTTTCGGCTTTCACGGCGTTGATGACGGTCCAAGAGGCCCCCAAGACCGCCCCAAGACGGCCCAAGAGGCTCCCAAGAGGCCCCCAAAACGGCTCCAGAGGGCCCCGAGACGGCCCCAAGAGGGGGACCACGAACCGAAAAGTCTAGCCTTTCGCCCCAAGACGCTCCCAGGAGGCCCCAAGAGCCCCCCAAGAAGCCCCAAGACGCCCCCAAGAGGCGTCCCACGAGGCCACCAGGAGGCCAAAATCTTTGATTTTCTCATGGGAAAAATACAATTGTCCCAACCATCCTGTGGTGTTGGGCCCTCGTTTTGAAGAGACGGTCCCCGCGTTCTCCTCCTCTCGTGCCCCCCATCCTCCTCCCTACCGTCCGCAAGCGTCCCGCACGCCCAGTACAGCGTTTCGTGGCCCCATAGGGAGCCCCACCGAAGGTCCCAGTGCTACCGTCCGCACGCGTCCCGCACACCCAGTACAGCGCTTCGTGGCCCCATAGGGAACGGCACCGAAGGTCCCAGAGCTACCGTCCGCATGGGTCCCGCACGCCCAGTACAGCGTTTCGTGGCTCTCCTCCCCCTCCGCCGTGCGTTTCACCCACCCAGTGCAGCGTTTTGTGGCCCCATAGGGAGCCCCACCGAAGGTCCCAATGCTACCGTCCGCATGCGTCCCGCACACCCAGTGCAGCGTTTCGTGGCCCCATAGGGAGCCCCATCGAAGGTCCCAGTGCTACCGTGAGCATGCGTCCCGCACACCCAGTACAGCGGTTCGTGGCCCCATAGGGAGCCCCACCGAAAGTCCCAATGCTACCGTCCGCATGCGTTCCGCACACCCAGTACAGCGTTTCGTGGCCCTCCTCCCCCTCCTCCCTGCGTTTCGCCCACCCAGTACAACGTTTCGTGGCCCTATAAGGAGCCCCATCGAAGGTCCCAGCGCTACCGTCCGCATGCGTCCGGCACACCCAGTACAGCGCTTCGTCGCTCCATAGGGAGCCCCACCGCAGGTCCCAGTGCTACCGTCCGCATCCGTCCCGCACGCCCAGAACAGCGCTTCGTGGCCCCATAAGGAGCCCCACCGAAGGTCCCAGTGCTACCGTCCGCATGCGTCCCGCACACCCAGTACAACGCTTCGTGGCCCCATAAGGAACCCCACCGAAGGTCCCAGAGCTACCGTCCGCATGGGTCCCGCACGCCCAGTACAGCGTTTCGTGGCCCTCCTCCCCCTCCTCCCTGCGTTACGCCCACCCAGTACAGCGCTTCGTGGCCCCATAGGGAGCCCCATCGAAGGTCCCAGCGCTACCGTCCGCATGCGTCCCGCACACCCAGTACAGCGGTTCGTGGCCCCATAGGGAGCCCCATCGAAGGTCCCAGTGCTACCGTCCGCATGATTCCCGCACACCCATTACAGCGCTTCGTGGCCCCATAGGGAGCTCTACCGAAGGTCCCAGTGCTACCGTCCGCATGCGTCCCGCACACCCAGTACAGCGTTTCGTGGCCCTCCTCCCCCTCCTCCCTGCGTTTCGCCCACCCAGTACAGCGTTTCGTGGCCCAATAGGGAGCCCCATCGAAGGTCCCAGCGCTACCGTCCGCATGCGTCCCGCACACCCAGAACAGCGCTTCGTGGCCCCATAGGGAGCCCCACCGAAGGTCCCAGCGATACCGTTCGCATGCGTCCCGCACACCCAGTACAGCGTTTCGTGGCCATCCTCCCCGTCCTCCCTGCGCTTCACCCACCCAGTACAGCGTCTCGTGGCCCCATAGGGAGCTCCACCGAAGGCCCCAGTGCCCCCGTCCGCATGCGTCCTGGAAGCCCAATTTGGCATTTTCACCCACCCAGTGCAGCGTTTCGTGGCCCCATAGGGGGCTCCACCCAAGGCCCCAGTGCCACCGTCAGTATGCGTCTGGGAAATGTAATTTGGCATTTTCACCCGCGCAGTGTAGCGCTTCGTGGCCCCATAGGGGGCTCCACCGAAGCCCCCAGTGGGACCGTCCGCATGCGTCCCGGTATCCCAATTCGGCACACCACCCACTTAGTACAGCGTTCCTCCCCGCCCAGTGAAGCGCTTCGTGGCCCCATAGGGAGCTTCACCGAAGCAGATATTCACAATTACGGTACCCACAACTGCATATGGTTGGGACCTTCGCCAGGATAATTAGCATACGCGGCTTTTCGGCTTTCACGGCGTTGAAGACGGTCCAAGAGGCCCCAAAGACCGCCCCAAGACGGCCCCAGAGGCTCCCAAGAGGCCCCCCAAACTGCCCAAGAGGGCGCCAAGACGGCCCAAGAGGCGCCCAAGACGGCCCCAGAGGGCCCCAAGATGGCCCCAAGAGAGGGACCACGAACCGAAAAGTCTAGCCTTTCGCCCCAAGAAGCTCCCAGGAGGCCCCAAGAGCCCCCCAAGAAGCCCCAAGAGGCCCCCCAGAGGTTCCCAAGAGGCCTCCAAAAGGGCTCCAAAAGGGCCCCAATAGGACTCTCACGAAGGCCCAGAAACGCCAAATAAAGAGCGATCGGTAACGCAAAAAGCTCTTCACACCAAGGCTCCCCACAGCGAACGGTGACGTAAACAAGCTGATAAGACCAAGGCTCCCAGCAGAGAGCGGTGACGTAACAAGCTCCTGACACCAAGGCCCAGCCAAGGCTCAGGAACGGGTGGCAACGCAACAATCTCTGAACACCAAGGCTCCCAAGAGCGAGGGGTGACGTCACAAGCTCTCAACGCTAAGGCCCCCAGTACGAACGGTGGTGTCAGTAATTTCGGTTTCTGTTTCTGAAGCGCTCTTTCCGTTTCTGTGCCGGGCCCAGGTCTACAGGCCTCGAGGGCTGCCCTTCGTACTCTGGAAGGTCAGGGTACTTCCCTTCAGAGGAACTGGGCCCGTTCGCGGCCCCAGCGGCCCTGTTCACGTCCGTCGCCGCACCATGTTTTCCAATGACTCGCCATCGCTCGGACGTTCATTGGTCGGAGGAGCGGTGGACATGGAGATGGTAGAGCCTTCTCAGTAATTCTCGGAGCAGTGCTCGCACTGAGGGGGTATTCCTTCTTCCACTTCACGAGCCCACGCTGAGACTTGCATTCAACAGCATGTTGTTTCACAGTGGCCCAGTCTTCTACAGGTGGCACGCGCGCCCTGGTTCCTGCAAGAGGGTCGTGCGAGAGACAGGAGGGGAGGGGAGGGCACTCTGATGAACAGTCGGTGGCTATGTCGAGGCCACATTGGACCCTCTTGAGGACATCTCGGAGCCACCTCGGGCCCCTTCAGGCCTGTTGGGCCTGGAGGCTGCCTGGGTGCGTCTTGGGGCTATCTTCTTGGACTGGCCTTGAGCCGTCGTGGAGCGATGTTGGGGCTGGCTCGTGGGCCATCCTGGCCCATCTTAGGGACGCCTGGGGCCCCCTTGAGAACTCACACGGGCCTCTTGGACTGTCTTGGAAGCCAATGGGGCTCTTTTCGGGGCCATCTGGACTTGGAAAGGGTGAACTTTCAAACATGTGTAATCACTCATGGAACGTATGTGGAGTCTTCTGGAGGCGCCTAGCTCGTATTTGAGCTTCTGGGGCCATTGGGTGTCCCAGTTGCCCGCCAAGGTGGCCGTACCAAAAATCATGGTGCGCCTGCCAAGCGTCAGATTCGCGGTGGCGTCCCGCTTCGTGTTGACGTCTACGTGCTCCAAAAACGGCCAGCACATCCTCGCCTGCAGCACGCAAATATTAAGATCCTTCCTTTCTTAACTGGACAAGCCGCGCAAAAAATCCTGGCCGTCCAACTTCATCTTGACGAAATGCATGGCCAGCGCATACTCGTAGAGCGTGAGGTTCCCATCCTGAAGATGAGCGGGCAACCCTTGGCAGGCAAGACGTCCCCTTACTTCCACCGCTACCGTTAGCTCGAGGCGGAAAAAGACACTCGATCGTCCTCCCCAGCGGCCCTCATCCATTCTCGCCAGCCTGCCTCCCTCCGCTTCTGCTACCCCTCCCCGTCTTTGCGCCTCAATCCCCCGTCTCCATGCTTCTTTTCCCTCCTCCCCCGCATCTGCCATCTCCTCCCTCCTTCCTCGTCCTCACTCAATCCATCCTCCATCCCCTACTTCCCCCTGCCTTTCTCCATTCCCCAAGTTGGGCCGGCCCCCGGGAAGGGGAGAGCATTACAGTCGGACCCAGGACAGAATAACATCCTTCAAGAACATGAGATCCCCCGCCGGCCAAGGGCACCTCCCCCAAGATGCGCAAGAGGAACTTCCAGCGACCCCGAAGAACAACAGGGTACCCTCCCCGAGCCGACCCTAGATCTGATACCTCGGCCCGACCGTGAATGCATCGAGGGGCTGCCATCGCCCATGTCGTCAACGAAGCTCCCTGGCAAATATTTGGAAAGCCCGCCCCTGGGCTATCTGGCCCTCTTGCCTCCGCCGAGAGACGGGCTTTCACAGGCCCCAAACTCGGAAGCTCTGGCCATCGTAGTCTTCTTCGGGATGCCGGAGAATATCTGGGACCCAAGCCTCGGAGCCGACCCTCTGACCTCTCCCGGGGGCCTGCTCGTTGCAGGAACTCTCGAGGCGAATCCAATCGTGGCGACGAGGGATCCCCAGGAGTTAGCGCGCGAAAAACGGTTTTTGATGACCTTTCCAGACGCACTGGGCCAAGCGACGCCGACGGTGGAACGGTGTATGCTAGACCGCTCTTCCTCCGCTCGAGGAGACCCGCCAGGCAGACAGGCAGATCCCGCACGGCCAGAGCGCAGGGTCCTGCACGAACCACGCAGGGGAGCCGGCCTTCAAGAAGAGAGGGGAAAAACAAAAAGAGAAAGAGAAAGAGAGAGAGAGAGAGAGCACGCGCGAACGCCCAAACGCCGTCCGCCCACCCGCGCGCCGGCCTGCCGCGCTCCCCAGACGCCCGCTGGTGTACTCTTTTCACGTGGCTCCTCAAAGGTCTGGACCCCTTCCCGGGCACCGGCTTTCCATTCCGAAGCGTTCTTTGACGGCCCTGGGGCTGGGCGAGTGCCACCCAGAGGCCGAAGACTGCCTGCCTCCGTCGTGATCTTTCCGCGATGCGAGGACGCCAGGGTTCCCGCAAGGTGCCCGCCAGGACGAACCCTTCCCTGCCCCCGCCGCCCACCGAGTTGCCTGAATCATTGATCGGCGAGGGTGGATCTCAGCTTTCGCCCCCGAAGGAGGCCCGAGCAGGACGGAGATCGGGGACGCACTGACACGGGTCAATGCAATTCCGGGTCAGTCAGGCTCTGCAGGATCCTGCAAGATCCTGCAGGATCCCGCAAGATCCTGCACGCAAGCCCAGATCAATGCACCCCTGGCTCTGCAGGATCCTGCAAGATCTGGCGCTCTGGCTGACACCCGCTTGTACTACGCCACGAAAAAAACATATACACAAACACACTACAACGAATTCTGCATGTACCTTCATGGAAAGCGGCGGTGTGTAAAGTCGCTGGTCCTCAGTGGTGATCTATACACCGGCACCCTCCCTAGGGGCCCAGGAACAATCCATTGGAGGGTGTCTGTATGTAGTTTTGAGGCGGATGCACTGACCCCCGTCTCAGGGCTCCCGAGCATTGGATTGTCGGCGATCGAGGGGGGGAAGTGAGAAGTTGAAGGCCTTCTCAGAAGGCGGCGGGACTTCTCAGAAGCCCTGCCCCGCCACTCCTCCTCCGGCCCCCCCCCTCCCGGTGGCCGCGGGGCTGGGCGCGCCGGGGGGGGAGGCCCGCGGGGAAGGGGTCCGCCGCCGGCCAGGAGGTGCCCAGGGACATATACACAGACACAGACACAGACACAGACACACACACACACACAGACACACACAGACAGACACACACAGACAGACAGACAGACAGACAGACAGACAGACAGACAGACAGACAGACAGACAGACAGACAGACAGACAGACAGACAACAGACGGACAGACAGACGGACAGACAGACGGACAGACAGACAGACACACACACACACACACACACATACATACACTTACTTTTTTCGACGGCGGCTAGGCAGAGTCACTGCTCTGGCGGGTAGGACACACACACACACATACACATATAGAAGTGGGCACACACATCCCTGGATCCCCCTCGGTTTTGATCCTCTCCAGAGGTGCGTCTTCCCTACCCACTTCCCATGCTTTCCCACACAATCCTGGGAATCGACGATTCTCGGGGGCCGCCGGGCCGGCCTGAGCCAGAGTGCGCCCAGGACCCAGCCGGGTTCCGCGGGGCGACGCCAGAGTTACCCATCGGTCGGAAGAAGTAGGTAGAAACATGAAATAGGAAGGCGTTGGAAATAGATTGGGTTTCCGCCCCGCCTCCTGAAGAGGAGGGAAGAGAGAAAACCACTCGACTCTTGAAGTAGGAAGGCGCTGAAAGTAGATTGGAATCTGGGAATCCAAAAGTACCTACTTTCAACGACCAATGGGTAGGTCGGGCACGCCCTCCTGAAGACGAATGTTGGACGAATGTTTTTCCCCCCAAAGAAATGACGAGATATCCAACACTGGTCAAAACAGAACTGACAAATCGTCACAAGACTACGTTTTTAAAACAATGTTTGAATTCTCCTTCCGTAGAGGAGCGTGCCCGACTGGAAGCCAGATTGTAGAAGCCTCCTAGATGGGGTCCGATCAGATGGGGTCGGAGGATGTCGCCGCATCGCCAATGCATCGGCGATGTATCAGTAATGCATCGCAGACGTCGGCGACGCATGGGCATCGGCGACGTGGGCGCGGAGAAAATCGGGCTGCGCATCGAGCCGCATCGTCGATGCGTCGGCGATGCGGCGCGATCCTCCGACCCCATCTACTCCGACCCCATCTTGGAGGCCTAGAGATTAAGCGGGATTTTGAGCCGGATCGAGCGGGATTAAACCAGATTCGGCCAGTCTTCGACCAGGGGTACGTCAGCGCCGATTCTGAACTTCGAACTTCACCTCTCAGGAGTCGCATCCTAAAGCATGGTCGCATCCACCGCTTCGGGGTCGTGCTCTGGGATCTCGGGGAGTGGTGGATGTGGATGACGTGTGCCAGGCCGCGTGGGCGGCCAAATTACCATAATTACCCACCGCGTGCCCCGAGTCCCCAGGACACGACCCCGTGGCAGTGGACATGAGCATGTCCTGGCGGCGTAGGGGAGGGGCAAGAGGCGGGGCTTAGGTCGGGCATGTCCTCCTACAGGCGGATTTTCGAGGAAAATTTGAAAAAAAACACAGCCAACCAATGTTCAAACATAGTCAAACATCCTCGAACAAAATACCCTCCGACTATTTTTTACTATTCGCGAAGATTCCTCCTGTAGAAGGACGTGCCCGACTTGAGGCTGGGCCCGTGCGTTGCCCTGCCTCTCCCTTCCGCCCTCTTGCTCGCACGACGTCGGTGGCCTGGCCTGGCCCAGGAGAAGAACACGAGGCAAAGGACGACACACTGGCCCGACGCCAGCAAGCACACCAGCTGCATCGATGTGCTTGCATCGCCCGGCGTGGCTGTCTCGAGATTGATCGGTGCGCCCCCAAAGCCTCCGCGCCACAACTCCTGGGGCCTGGGGAAACGATTAAGGTACTGATACCGCTACTCCCTGGGCCTCTCCAGGGGTGCGTTCTGACCAGGATTTCGAGGCGAATCCAGCGGTGGCGACGAGGGCCTCCCAGGGGGCCGAAAAAGGGGAAAACTGGCGAAAGGTAGCGGTATGGGTACCTTTTCCTCCTCTGAGGGTCGCCAATGGCCAGCTGCGCCGAACTGCGCCGGGTGGCGACGACAGCACAGCACACGCGGCAAATTCATGGGGAGCTTCCCGCCGTGCGGCCGCCTTGCCGTTCTGCGAGAGATGCACGTGTGCTGGACTGGACACGTGGGCCTGCGGCGGAAGCCACCCTCAGATGCCTCCTAGGTGTGGTCGGAGTAGATGGGGTCGGAGGATCGCGCCGCATCGCTGATGCGTCGCCGACGTCGGCGTGGAGAAACTCGGGCTCCACATCGAGCCGCATCGCCTATGCGTCGGCGATGCGGCGCGATCCTCCGACCCCATCTACTCCGACCCCATCCAGGAGGCCTACAACCGTGGTGGGGCCAGCTTCGGCTCCGTGGTGTGGAGCATGCCAGGGCGCCTCGTCGCTCTCTGGCGCGCGCACCCTTCTGGCACACAGCAGCGTTACACTCCGGACTCCGCGCTCCATTTCTCCAAGGGCTCCCAGCTTCGCGCTTCGCGCTGAGCGAAGCGCGAAGTGCGAATAACTTCGCGCTCTCGCGCCGCCTCCCAGGGGAGAAGAGGAGGATGAGGAGGAATCGGAGCCGAACCGCGAAGCGCGAATAACTTCGCGCCCTCGAGGGCGCCCTTGACCCTTCTGGCACACAGCAGCGTTACAGTCCGGACTCCGCGCTCCATTTCTCCGCGGCCCTCCCTTCCCCCCCGCCCTGCGCAGCGTTGGTATAAACAAGCGCGAGCAACCGCAGCGAGAGCACGTGCGCGTGAGAAGCGCCCGCGCACTTTGCTCAGCAAGGCGCGCGAACGACAGAGTCGGCTCGGCCCCCAGGCGTAGGACAGAGGAGGGGGGGCAGAGGACGAGAAGGTACTACTGCCTCGTCTTCCTCTTCCTCCTCCTCCTCCTCCTTCTCCTCCTCCTCCGCCCCCCCTCCGCGTGCAGCCCGTAGGACCACGAGAAGAGAGGGGGGGCACTGGGCGCAGGGCGACGAGCAGAGAGAGGCGAGGCAGGGAGCGGGGAGCGCCACGGTCGCCCCGAGGGGGCGGAGCGCAGAGGGGGGCTCTCCCACCATCACCCCGGTCTCGCAACTGCGTGCTGGAGGTCATCATCCCTTGTGGGGGTGGTGGCCGGGGGGGCCGGAGGGCCTCGGTCTCGGGCGGCGGCCCGAACGGGCCCTGCGCTGTCGCGCCCCTGCGGCCCGTGCGGCCCCCGCCGCCCCTTCTCTCCGAGACCCCCACGGCGCTCCGCGGAGAGGCCGCCGTGGCCCGCACTGCGTGGGGGAGGGGCAGGAGGGGGGCAGGCGCGGCAGGAATACGGAGGCACGCGGCGGAGTGGAAGCGTGCACGAGCGGGGACAAACGGTGACCAGGATTGGAGGCACGGGTGCCCGGGCTGCAGAGCTTCGGCCAGAAAACAGCGCATCAGGGCCCCTCCTTGTCCACATCCGCCAGCGTCCAGACCTTATGCAATATGTTCGAGGGCAATTTGCTCTCGGTCATCTTGGGCTTTGCCTCCCGAATTCGATGGCGGTGCAGCAGCAATGACAAACAAATGGCGAGCTTAGGCGTTAAGCGGAGGATGATGGCTCGGGGTAGGATAACGGCTAAAAAGAGAGAAACCACTATCATGAGGCGGTGCCAGCGTGCGAACACCTGCTGAGTGGATGCAGCAGGCGGCATTGAATATTCAAGCGAAGACGGGCGCGCGAGGGAACAGAAGAGCTGCAGGGATGGGGGCGAGACGCGTGGGGACGCAAACAAACAAGACTGCAGCCTTGATGCAGCGGTTGGGACTGACCAAACGTATCGCCGCTGCGGGGTGCAAATGGGCGCTGAGGAAAGAGGACTATGCGCCAGGCCTATCCTGAGCCCAGGATCGGTGCATACGCCCTCTTGCCTTGGCGAGGAAGGTGTATGCACCGATCCTGGGTCAAGGATGGACGTTGTCAGGATCGGTGCACGTGCACAGTTCTCTTCGCCCGAACTGGGTGACGCCGCATCGCCACGCGTGTGCCAAGTCGGCAGATCTGAGAGTCGGCTAATTACTGCCAGCCCCCTGGCCTCCTCCCTTGCACCCTCCTCTGGCCTCCTTCAGTCGTCCTCTCCTCGGCGGCGCGCCCGGGGGGGAAACGACAGGGGGCGGTGGCCTCCAAGACGCGTCCAAGACGATCAAAATGGCCCCAAGAAGCCCCAATACAGCCCCAAAATGGCTTCCAAGACAGTCCCAAGATGCCTCCAAGACAGCAAAGATGACCCAATAAAACCCTAGAGTAGCCCAAGAGGCTCCCAAGAGGCCTCCTTCTCAGAAGGCTCGAAGTCCTCCGGCCTTCTGAACTTTTCTCCCAGACTTCCCCGAAGACGCAGGGAGCTCCTCGAAGGCCGAGGGGCTCGGAGCACAGCCCCGCCGCCTTCCGGGAAGGCCTGCCCCCTCTCGCGCCCCCTCTCGCTTCCCCCCAGGAGCGCCGCCGATCTCTGCGCTCGGCGCTCCCTCCTCCCCTCCCCCCCCCCCGCCCCGTTTTGCCCCGTCCTGCCCCGCTCCCGCTCCCCCCCTGCCAGTGCGCCTGCGCACCCGCCCGCCAGAGCGCCTCCCCGCCCTGTGAAAGAGAGAGAGGCTGGAGAGGGAGGCAAGACAGGGGAAGGCTGGAGAGAGGGAGAGCGAGCGAGCGAGCGAGAGAAAGAGCGAGAGAAAGAGAGAGAGAGAGAGAGAGAGAGACGGAGAGAGGCTGGCGAGGGGGGAAAAGAGAGAGAGGCCGCACCCGCTCGACGGACGGCCAGCCCAGCCGGCCTGGACGGCCAACCTCCCCGCACCAGACCCAGACATCCGATCCGGCGCTTCTCCTGGAGCGCGCACGGAGGACGAGCAACGCTCCAGGGTCACCCTTGCATCCTTGCCCCTTCGGCCCATCCTTGGCCACCGTCGCTGGCCCCCCTTCGAAAACAGTCAGCATGGCCTTCCGAGGCCCCTGCATCCAGATTCTGCGTTTCGACTGTCGTGCCTTCTCCCACCCCGCCGAGCGGCCGCCGAGACCTGAAGCCATCCCCGAGCTGCAGCCGGCGACATATGTGTGATAACCAACCCAGAGGTTCCTGGGCACCGCTGGGCATCCGCGCCCCGATCGGCGGCCCTTGGGCCGATCTTCAACCCCCAGGGCCTATCCACCCCCGTCGTCCTTCCCGATGTCGCGCCGCCCCTGCTGACCACGAGGTCCGACGTCGTGAAAACCGCAGCGTCTCCAAACCAAAACACGACCGGAGTACCCAGAGGATTCCTAGATGGGGTCCGAGTAGATGGGGTCGGAGGATCGCGCCGCATCGCTGATGCATCGGCGATGCGTTTGCAACGTCGCCAACGCATCGGCACGTCGGCGTGGAGAAACTCGGGCTGCGCAACGAGCCACATCGCCGATGTTTCGGCGATGCGGCGCGATCTTCCGACCCGACCTACTCGGACCCCACTTACGAGGCGTAGAGAAACACGACCGGAGCACCCGCCCCCAGACCCCGCACGTCGTGTTTTCTTTTTCACAACGTCGACCTCCAGAGGTCTGCACCCCTTCCACAGGACAAGCTTTTCGTCCTGAGCCGTGTTTTGCACGGACCTGAGGCCCGGCGAGGGCCCCCAGAGGCCGAAAAACGAGCGCGAGGAAGCTCCCGTCGTGACTTTTCCAAGGCGCGGGGGGGTCTGGATCCAACAACGGCTGGCGCACCCGGCCCCGCCGTCGTGCCCGGTGCTCCCGGGCCAGACCGATCCAATCGTCGGAAATCGCGAAGTGAACCCCGCCCTCCCCCTCAGAAATCGTGCGGGGTACGGGTAGGGTTCGCATGTGGCCTACTACCTCCACCACCAGGGGGCCACATGCGAACCCTGCCCCTACCTCCCACGATTTCTGGGGGGAAAGTGGGGTTCACTTCGTTCGGGTGGGTTCGCATGTGCCCCCCCCCCCCCCCTCAGAAATCGCGTGGGTAGGGGTAGGGTTCGCATGTGGCCCCCTGCCTCCACCACGGCGCGAAGCGGGGCGAAGGAGGCCCGTCGGCACCGCCACGCGGGCCGTCGGGGCAGGCCACCCGGGCGGGGGCACCACCCCCCCCAAGGCCGGGCTCACGGCGGCGCCGCTCAACGGTGGTGCTGGGAACCAGAGGTGTAGGAGATCTCGAGCCACGCTTTCCTACACTCCGAATTCGCGCATGGATCGAGCGAACGCCACGCGGCAAGTTCCGATGATCCTCAGAATGTGCGTGTGCGTGTGTGTGTGTGTGTGTGTGCGTGTGTGTGTGTGTGTGTGTGTGTGCGTGTGTGTGTGTGTGTGTGTGTGTGTCAGCCCCAACGTGCGCTTGTCCATCGAGGCCGTTCGACACGACCCAGGCGATGTAATATGATCCACTGATTGGGCTGACAAAGGGGGCACACACAGTGGGCGAACGCACGTCCTGAGTATTATCGGAAATTGCAGGAAAGCGTGGGCCGCGCGTCCCCACGCTACCGAAACCTACATCGCCGTCGCTTACATCGCCGTTCGCCCGTCGGCAACGCCCCCTGCCACGCGGGGCGTCGGGGCGAGCCGCTCGGGCTGGGGCGCCCTGGCGCAGCTCTCCCCAGACCCCCAACATCGCGCTTTCTTCTCGCAGCGCCGACGAGGGCTGGACCTAAACTTTGTTTTTCGTTTTGATGTCGTTTTGCGTTTCGTTTTGCTCTGCCTGTTTTCCTGTGTCTCCCCCCCAAAACAAATTATCCCAGCGCGGCCCTACCTAAGAGTTGCAGCCCTAGGAGTTGGAGCCGCTGGATGTCACACATCCATGAAGAGCAGAGAAGGGACACCTGTTCCTGTCGAGGGTTGGGCGTCTTCGTGAGCACCGAAACTGCCGCGCGCAGTTTTTGAAAGTCTGGTGTGTTACACGCAGCACCTTGCACAGTCAACCACCGCTTCACGGTCGCGATGGATTTGAACGTCTCTGCAGGTTGTTCAACACTGTTTGGAACATTGTTCTGTGCAGGATGCTCAACACTGCTTGCTGGGTCTCGTGCCTCGCCGCTCGAAGTCCGTGAAAGTGCCCGCATGACGCAATGCACTGCTGCACGCTCTTGCGTGGCTCTGCGAGTCACGGAATTGAGGCTGAACGGCAACGAGGATGAAAGGCATTACGACGCGGTGCTGAACACATACATGCACACACACACACGCACACACATGCAGCATTCCACATGGGAGTTATGTGTATATATATACACATACTTGCATATATAGAAAAAACATTTGGGACATGCGATCACGTCGGGTTTCATGTGTCCCGGCCGGTGCTATGTGCGAAACCTTCGTGCATCCTAAGGGATCAAGCTGCCCCACTAAGGGCTCAATATGGCCCACAGACGGACAACATGCATGGAGCATACGTGCGCACCACATATATATTTTTTATATAATATATATATATATATATATATATATATATATATATATATTGTAGCAGCAATAGTGGATGTTGTTGCAATATGCTAAACTATGCTATGCTATGCGCTGCTATGCTATGCAATGCTATGCTATGCTGCGCAATGCTATGCTGGACTAGGCTAGACTAGGCTAGGCTATGCTATGCTGCGCTATGTTATGCTGCGCTATGCTATGCTATGCTATGCTTTTGCTTGGCCTTCGCTTTTGCGTTCACTTTTGCCTTTGCTTTTGCTTTTGCTTGGCACCCAGGGAGCGCAACTGGGGGAACCGCGCGTTTGCTTTTACCTTTGTTGTTGCTTTTGCTTGGTTCCCAGGGGACTGGGGGAACCGCCCGGGGCGGTTTGCACTGCCCGGCCCCTTTAAGCCAAGCGAAAAACCCCGGGAAGCAAACAGTACCCCCCCCGGCGATATCCTTAGCACATAAAATAAAATAAATAATTATGTTGGGCGGCGCCCTCTAGCGATATCATTAGCACATAAAAAATAATTAGCCTGGCGATGGACCCAACCATATGCAGCTGCGAGTACCGCACGGATATGAGACGAAGGAATGGGCACGCAAACTAGGCCCCTCTTCTCATAGGCACCGCGCCACTGGGGCCTTCGGTGGAGCTCCCTATGGGGCCACGAAACGTGTGAAGGGTGTGCCGAAATGGGTGGTGGGGAGGCATGCGGACCCTGCCACTGGGGCCTTCGGTGGAGCTCCCTATGGGGCCACGAAACGTGTGAGGGGTGTGCCGAAATGGGTGGTGGGGAGGCATGCGAACGCAGCCACTGGGGCCTTCGGTGGAGCTCCCTATGGGGCCACGAAACGTGTGAGGGGTGTGCCGAAATGGGTGGTGGGGAGGCATGCGAACCAGCCACTGGGGCCTTCGGTGGAGCTCCCTATGGGGCCACGAAACGTGTGAGGGGTGTGCCGAAATGGGTGGTGAACCCTGCCACTGGGGCCTTCGGTGGAGCTCCCTATGGGGCCACGAAACGTGTGAGGGGTGTGCCGTGGGTGGGGAGGCATGCGAACGCAGCCACTGGGGCCCGGTGGACTGGGGCCTTCGGTGGAGCTCCCTA